ATTAGTGCATGGTATATTCCTCCACTTATATTAGGTGTGTTCAGATTATTGTTTGAACACGATTTTTATTATAAGATACATTCTGTTGTACATGGCATCTCATCAAGGTGGACGTACTTGTTTTTAAGGCTTTGTTGAACCTCTTTTAGAGTGAAAAAATTCCATCATTTTAATGTAGATGCTATGTTTCCAGTTGTATATAGCTGTCATGCTCTCAAAATCCCATAATTTTTCTTTCTTTAATTGTTTATCTTGGAGATAACATGGATGGTGAGAAATTGAGGTACACTTAACCTTACTATGTGCACATAAATGCATTAATATATGCATGCGTGTCCTTTGTTGTTGTAATTGTTATTCTTGTAGGTATAGTATGGATCTCCTCAAATTCAAAGAAATTGTTGGTATTCAACAAATTCTTATGCAGTACCTCAAGAATAAAAAACCTGGAAAGACCTTTTTTCTCGTTATTCACACTATACTGATCAAAATACAGTTGGGTCCTATGTGGTCTTCTTTAAGTGAAACGGTTTTTATTATTTGAATAACTTGTGATAACATAATTTCTTAAGTTTTCTCATTTCTTTGGTGTCTTCCTTTTTGGATCCATATACAAGGATAATTACCTCTTGTTGGTGGTGATTATAACTTTTCAGGGAGGAGTTTGATGGTAAGCTGAAGGGGATCTTGGGCTACATTGAGGATGACGTGGTGTCCACCAACTTTCTTTTGGAGTCTAGGTTTTCATAGAACAATTTATGTTAAACCCTTATGCTACTTGCAGGAACGCTTTGATTTGTTTGGGTTTGGTCCAAATTATAGGGTTTTTAGACACAACCATGTCTAAATCACTTAATTTGTGGCCATTACAATGCAGTTGTGGTCATAGTTTGGGAGCTAGGGTTTGGAAGAGGAGAAATGGAAGGAGAAGTAATATTTAAGGATATAAGGAGATATTACTGTGATATCTGTGGAATTTGCAGGTCTAAGAAGTCTCTGATAAGATCTCATATGCTTTCTGAACACAAGGTATGCATTATATAATTGCTTTCATTTAATGATTTATTCTCCATTTCTTCAATATTCCGTGTTTTTTTGGTGGAATTAACTGAATCAAGGATCAAGGGCTTTATTTTTTTCAAAGTGATCTGCTGTTTTTTTATCTAAAGCTAGCATCTTGAAAATCTGATTAATTAAATGTCCACATAATTCATTGATGATAAAAAAAAAAACCCCAAAAAATGGGATTTGGATGCTCAAATGAAAATGCTCCATTGATTTTTTAAGCTATATCATGTAGTTCTATTTTTATTGCAGTAAACCATGGAAGTTTTTGTATTTTGATAGTAAAGTAGTTAATACAAATACAAAGTAGTTAATCTTTTTTCTTAAAGAACATGCTTCAGCTCTCACTTGGACTCTCACGGGCTCTACACCCCCAGGCCGCCTTCCCATCCCGCAGCTTAATACCTGTTTTAGTTTCCTTCTCACTTGGTTTACTTTATTTTATGTCTCTATTGTACTATCTCGTTCTCTTACTATCTCCCTCTACCTGGAGTCTGAGTGCCCATCTTGTGGGTCTTCTTTTGTTTAATAGGATTTTTCTTACTTTCATTTATAAAAGTTAACCTTTCCTCAGAAAAAAAAAAGTAGTAGTTATTACAAATACACTGTATCTCTATGGTGTTCTCCTGAAACTAACTGGAATATTGTGGTTGAATTTTTCATCTCTCTTACTTAGGATGAAGTTAATGAGGTTGAAAAAGATGAAGAGGAAATCCTGGAAAATAAAAGAATGAAGCTGGCATGTGATGAATGTGGTGCCTGCTTTCGAAAGCCAGCTCATCTTAAACAGCATAAGCAGGGCCATTGATTAGAGGTATCTTTGTAACCAACTTGCTCCTCAATTAGGATTCATTACTGCGATGGTGCTTCTCTAATCGGAAATTCGCACTGTGTTTTTCTTTTTGTAACTTCTGAGCATGATAACTCAAGCCTGTTTATTCTGGTTTTTTTTACAAACAAATTGTTATTTTCCTGTGTTTTTTTCTTACTTTTATGTGTGTAAATAGTTCTCTGTGTCAGCCATAATGGCCTTCATATTGCTATGAAATGGTCACACTGCGTTTTTCTTTTTGCAACTTCTGAGCACTAAATTCCCCTTTACTTTCATATCTTCTCTGTTATGACTCGAGCCTCTTTATTCTGGTTTTTCTTACAAACAAATTGTTGTTTTCCTTTTTAAAGTTCAAGTAAGAGGTATTTTTTCTTTTGAATTTAGTTTTGTTATGATTTTGCCCATTGAATCAATGTGGTTAAATATTATAAACCACAGAAATGGTGCAGATGCATAATAAATTTTTATTTCTTGAATCCAATAATTGATTGAATTGTCATCTAACATCATCATGAAAACTCAATTGAATTTACTTGCTGTTTATTTATGGAAATAAGATTAAGGTCTTGTAAGAAATTTGAACTTCCTGTTATGTGTGATAAGCGGGTTGAGATGGGTGTTTAGCCTGTATGGGACAATTTAACAAAATGAGCTGAATGGTGTTTTCAAAATGTACCCTTGGTATTGATAGCATTTGGAATTCTTTAATGCAGTAAATTTTATTTTTGTTGTTTATGAGGCAAGTTCTGTTTTTAATGAAAAATGGCATTGCAATTCGCTGCCTTCTCCATGGTAATTAAGGATTAAAAAGGTGTCTATGTTTTTCTTTTCTTTTTTTTTTCTTTTTTTGTTTTTTTTGTTTTTTTTTTTTGACGGTTTAGGAACCGATTGGAAAGTTCTTTTTCTTATAATGAGAACCCTTTGCATTTAAGAGGTTTTTTTTTTGAGGCGGTAAACGTTTAGAAGTTCATTTCAGAGAAAACAAAAATTCAGTTTCAAAGTTGATACTTTTTGACCCGTCTTTTGGGAACTTCCAGTTTCTTTGTTATTTTAGAGAATCAGGATTAATAGGGTTATGAGGCCTTTGTTCACTTTTTATCACAAGGGAGTTATGGGTTCTTTTATTTAACCAATGTGCCTTGTTTGTTCTTGTGTTTAATGTAATTTGACGATTATGTTTGGTTGATTAGGTAGTTGTGTGGAGTTTGGGTTTCAGGAATTGAGTATGGCGTGTGAAGCAATGGATCCCATGTATAGAACTCCAAAATGCAAAGGGGTGGTTTTGGTCTTGATTGGACTAGTATCAGCGTGGGGGACCACCTGTGAAGCTCCATCAAGCTATTGCCTTTCCACCTTATTCACGCGCAATGTATCTCAGAGATTTGTTTTTTTTATCTTTTAACTGTTACGTGTGTGTGAATCATAATTCTGGTCATTATGATGTAATCGGCAATTTTCTTGTGGCCCATGACTGTTGTGACTAGCATTTTGTAAAAAATAGAGCTGTAAGGTATTGTAATGGAGTTTTAGTGGTGTTTCCTGTTCATTCTTGTGTATTGGACATCCTTTTCTTTGAAATTAACTATGTCTTGGATGCTCCCAAGATGTTCATAATATGCTCTTCAGACTTTGTGGAATGACATTTATAGCA